TACATCTTTTGTGCCTCTCTTTCCTAAAAAATGGAAATGTTGGGTCAAGGGATTTGGATATCTTACAGATTTTTTCACACTGTTGTCAAATTTGCCTTTGGAAAGAGTATGCCTCCAGCAGTGTAGGTGGGTCCCCATTTTCTACACCCTCGCTTTCATTGGACATTGTACCAGTCAGTGTCCAGTTAGGAAAAACAGAAAGCATACTAGGTATTTCAACAGAGAGAATTTAATATAGGGAATTGGGTTAACAGACATTGAAGGGCTCAAAGAGCAAAAATAGGACTGAGATAACTCAGAGAGAGTAACCACAGAAAGCATGTCCCACCCCTAGGACTAAGGCAACAAAGGGATGGAGTTGAAGGCTGGAAGTTTGGAGCGGAAGTCCCCATGGAGCTGGAATATAGATCTCTGACAAGGGGGTGCTGCCAGTTGCTGCTAGTGCTATAGAAGTTGATAGGAAAAACCATGCAGAGCTGGGACTCAAACTTTTGAGAAGACGTTGTCTGGCTGGTGCTGGTACCTCTGAAGGGCACAATGAGGCTGGGTCTGGTTGTGCTGAAAAAGAAAACAAAAAACAAAAAAGCTAAGGACTAGAGCCAATTACGGCCGCTAGAGTGAAGACGATTACCATTGAGAAAATCCTGACAGCAGCAAGCAAACAAAAAGGGTCAAGTCCTTTTCCTGTTTCCAGACTCGCAGTCTCCCTCTAGTGCCCCCTATTGGCAGAGCCTCGCATAGAGTTGGCTGACAAATGAGAAATAGGATTTGCACTGTCCCAGCCCGGACCTCATAGAACCCATCAGAGACAGGTAAATTTGGAGCTTAGAGACCTAATAACCAGACAGGCATCATCACATTTTAAAGTTTTGTCAGTAACTTTTTCAATATCAGTGATTCAGAAGCAAATTAAATATGACATGGATTAATAGGATATTTTGATGACTTAATAGTTTTGCAAAACATATAGACTTGATTTCAGGTTGAACCGGGAGGTCTTTCTAAAAAAAAAAACAAAATACAACTTGCTACCAACTGACATTTTTTTAAAGTGCTTCTTCTGTGTCAAGCACTCTGCTCAGCAGGTTACGTAGTAGGCCATCTCAGTCTCCTTTTACAGATGGGGAAACCCGAAGCTTAGAGAAGTTAAGCAAGATGCTCAAGGTCACAGCTTCAAAGCAATGCAGATGGAAGTTTTATGAGCAGCCTGAGTTCTCAGCCACATCTCTGTACCACCTCCGCATTCCTTTACTGTGTAGGTGGCATGCCTTTACCCTTAGGAGGCTAGGACCTAGGAATGAAAACAACCCCAGACTCTTGCTAGAATCCTTTGCTCTCTCCTTGCTGCGGCATCACATGGTAAAGACTGCATTCTGACATGAGCTTTCAGCACTTCAGCAACCAAACACCTAACAGCAAGGGATGAAATGGACTCTCATCCCCAAATTTTGATCTCTAGCAAGCAATCAGAGCATCTTGGAATCTCAGAGCTGCAATAAAAGTCCTTACCAGATGTTCGAATCCCTTCTTTAACATTTCAATAAACAATTATTCAGCATCTGTTTGAACATCACACAAAGCAGCTCTTTCTATATTTTTAGATGGCTATAGTTACTAAACAGTTATCATTTACAGAGAGCTGGAATATATTACTGTACGACTTCTACCTGAAGCTTTGCAAATGCTTAAAGGCAGCTATCACATCACTCTTCCCGTGGTGTGTGGTGAGGTGTTCGTGTGCTTTTGGAGGTAGCAAATGTCTCAAATAATAAGGCAAAGTAGGTGAGCAAAGCTCAAATTTGTTATTGGGGAAGACACATATAAAGAAATTTTCTTGGTGGTTAAGAGCACAGCTTTTAAAATCAGACAGATCTGAGTTTAAATCCCAGCTCAATCACTTCCTAGTTATGACCACTTACTAGATGTTAAGTGACCTTGAGCAAGTAGTTTAGCCACATGGGGATGGTCGTACCTACCTGACAATGGTGGTGTGAGGATTCAATCAGCTCAGGCTTGTAGGTGCTTGCCTTGGCCACATAGCAGGTGTTCAGGAAATGAGATCTACACACTGTGTTGATGAAACACATGAATTTCACTTTGCATATAAAGTTACAAAAATGTCTCTTTATGATAGTGGTTGTCATTTAAAGGTCATTTTAATCCCATCCCAAAAGATCTATTTTAGGGTTATGTAATAGACTACTCTCTGGAAAACCTTAGTCCACTGAAAAAAACTTAGATATTTAGCATTTGGAGCCAGAAGAACTGAATACAAGATCTGGATTGGCCCCTTATTCTACGATTTTGAGTAATTGTCTGAGCTTTGGTTTCCTCATTTATAAAATGCATCCACATAGGAAACATGGTAAATGCCCACCACAAAATACTATGGAGCAATTAGAAGATCTGAAAACCATAGTTCTGAGTGAAAATACGGTTGTCGTAGAAGGAGAAATGTAACAATGTCATTTATGTAAAATCAAAACAACCACACGCAGCATATAACACCCATGCAGACAATAGACATCCAATGTGTGTAATGATTGTCTGAGAGGAAGAGAACGCAAGTGAGTTGGGAGATTAAAAAGGGATCAATAATAGAGACAGTGGAGGGGACTCAACACATTTAGAAATAAAAAGATAAATCATATGGAAACAAGGATGCTTTTGACCTTCCTCACAAGGTTATTCTGAGAGCTGATGAGATTATGCACATGAAAACAAAAGTTAATTTACTGTTTTTATTATGCTCTCCATATTGGACAAATGAACTGAACAGAGATAAAAATTCCCCACTGCTCTTCAGCAGGAAGCTGTCGCCAGGGCAGCCCCCAGGAAGCCCTGCCCAAGCTTCAGAGCCTACCGGTGAGATGACATCAAAGCCCTTCTGCAGGAGGGTGGAAGGCTCCCCTCACTTCTGGAGACACCACTTGGTGGCACAGCAAAGGCAATACAGCCTCTTTCCATGGATCTGCTGCCAATGGCCCACTCGGGCCCTCGGAAGAAGAGACCCAGGCAGACGGGTACCTCGATGGCCTCCACTTCTCATGACATCAAATTTCAAGATTTGGTCCTCTTCATTTTGGAGAAGAAAATGGGTACCACCCGCAGAGCATTCCTCATGGAGCTGGCCCGAAGGAAAGGGTTCAGGGTTGACAATGAGCTCAGGTAGGATATCATGATCTCACTTTGTGAATATCAGGGGCTTTGTGAACAGCTTCTTTGGAACCCAAGGAACCTGTGTTTTCTTCCACAATATGGAAGAGGTGGTGCTCCCACTGGGAGAGCAGCAGGCCTGAAATCAAAGAAAAAAATTTGGGCCGATTAGTTAAGGGAAATGAGATGAGTAGGGACTGAATGCAATTATATATAATTTATATATATTAAAAACTAGGTGACACAAACAGATAAGATACATTTTGTGGGTTTTTGTTTTTTTGTTTTGTTTTTGCCTTTCACTATTATGAGATTAATTATCTAGGGATGACAAACAGAAACCTAGTTGGAAAGTTTAATGCTGAAGACATTAAATACTGAAGACATTACGGAAAAAACTACAGGAAACCTGCGTGAAAGGACATTTTGATTTTAAGAGTAGTCTTTGATATTTGAAAATAAAACTGACAAGCATTTCTTGATGAAGAAATGTCAGCTTTAACGTGTTGGGAAGACATATTTCAAAAACCAATAATGAGATATGTTAATTTTCATCATAATTCACATGACATTGACTTTTCATTTTTTCTTTCTTTCTTTTTTTTTTTTTTTTTTTTCCCTAAAATGCCCCATTCAGAAATTCCTGGGTTTTCCAGGGTCTTTCTCCCATCTGATTTCTCTTTACACAGTCTCCTTTTCTTCCTACCTGCCTCTTTTTTCTTTTTAACCTCCAACAGCTACCCTCAATCCTATTTCAATTTCCTAATATCTTTTCCACGAAATCCTAGATTTCGTCTAATTGTTGAGTCTGCCTAATCTTACAGATTTACAAAAAATGTTAGTGTTGGGGGTGGGGGTGGAGGGAGATTATACAGGGAAAGAGGCCAAAAAGCATAAATTTTTAAAAGAAATTTTAAAAGAGAAATGAAAAGCCTAGCAAGTATGGAACTGCTTTTCGTGGTAAAGAAACTTGGCAGAGAGGCAACAGCCAGATGGTAAAGGTACCACTTACACGGAAAGCCCTCTGTTGAAACGTCCAAGCTTCTTCTTGCAAGGGCCCCAGATGTAGTTACAGACATAGCAATGAGTACGTACATGATGGCTGAGGCAGGTACCAAGGGTGACAATGGGAGGCAAGTTCTTTTGTTGGCAGGGGAGCCGAAGAGGCAGCTCCGTGCCCCAGATGCCTGCTGCCAAGTACCAAGCCCAGCTGCTCAGGCAACAGAGGAAACTGGTGCACGGTAAGCAAACTGTTGCTTTGCATGTGACAGTGGCAAAGGTCCCAGGCCAGCAGCTCAGAAGACACATTAAACACTAATGTGCTCTATGGAGCAAAAATAAACCACAGGAAGTAGAAGTCCCAGCTCTTAAATGGAATTTCTGTGCATAGATATACAGACTTAGTTGGAAAGGAAAATAAAAATTATTGTAGGGGAAAATCTCTAGATAGGAAATCTACAAATCCTGGCTGTCTTTCCCAGCCATGTGCTGTGGGGCAACTTCCCCTCTTTCCTCCCTGATTTGAGTTTCCTGATAAATGGTCTAGTCTATCTGATGTGGTCACCAAATGAAATGATGGATGTCAATGTGCTCTGATGAATTAAAACAGTTACACAAATCTGAAGTGTGATTATGTTCTTGTTAATTAGCTGAATCCATTGACCTTTACAGTAAAACCCTAAGGAGAGGCTTCTCTCTCCACAATATGAACTAGGTCAAATGAAACCAACAAATAGAACAAAGACAGGAAGGAAACCCATCAAAATGTTAAAAGTGTTTATTTTGGGTGGGGGGAGGCAAGGAGTAGTAGGGAGAGATTATGGCTGTTTTTATTTTCTGTGTTTTCCAAATTTTTTACAATAAGCATATACTTAAAAATGAAAATAACAAAGAAAGCTGGTTTTTAAAAGACAGGATACTTCTCACCAGTGAAGGCTATTCCTCTCCTAGCATATAAGATTCAAAGACAGAGGAATTAAGGAAAAGAAAAAGGAAAGAAAAATCCTCTGAAATCGGCATCAATTTCCATAGTTCCTAGCACATTTTTTGGCTGCCAGGAGGATTAAATTTGAGAAAAAACATGATTCCTGCTTTCCCTGGGCCCAAATATACAGATTAAGAAGCGGTGTGCCTCAATGAATTGACTGGAGCACTTTCATTCTCTAGCATATGTGCATCATATTTGGATGGGGCTTTATTAATATTTATGCTATATTGCAAAAGATATGCTATTCAATGTGCCATAGGAAACTGGTTCTTAAAACATAAATCAGGGGAGGTGTCAAGTCCCTTGAGGCATTTTTGCACAGTTACAAAAAGAATACCGAGTGACATTCCATTGCCAACATCTAAATTTTGAAAACAACATCTAAAATTTAGAGCTAATTCACAGGCTAGAATAGAATGATATTCTACTGCTTGTCACGTTCTTATTTCATCCTGGGCTCCAATACACTGAGCTATTTTAAAACTTTATTCTATCATCAACCCTTCTCTAAAACATATTAGCTAAGCTTATTCTTTGTGTCTTGACCCAAATCATTTTTTTTTTTTTGGCTTTTTTTGTGACCGGTAAGGGGATCGCAGCCCACCAGCCATCTCTATATAGGATCCGAACCCGCGGTGGGAGCGCTGCTGTGCACCCAAGCGCCACACTCTCCCAAGTGCACCACAGGGCCAGCCCTGACCCAAATCATTTTGAGGAAGAAAGAGCTGTGGCCAGAAAGGATGGTCCTCCATGCTCACATCACCTAGCAATTTAACGCTTGCTAATTTCCATTGTTGAAACAACTGGAAACCCACCAGATATACTATTGTCTTGCCTGGACCTCATAATTTATCTACAAAGGTACCATTTGAAGAAATTGTCATTGATGAAAGTAAGATACAGCATCATGCCATCACCAATAAATTGTTTTGTTAGTACCCAGTCTGTACAGTATTTGTTGGGTTCTGGACATACAAAATAGTAGAAGGCATGAGTCCTGTAAGCAAGGACTTCATAATCAGACAGGAGAGTTAGGAATTGTACCTTTGCTATCACCTAAATTTTTAAAAAGCCATACCATATATTCTAAGTATGAACTAGTCTTCCTTTTTTTTTTTTTTTTTAATAAATTAGCATTTGCCTACCCAACGTTTTACTTTCAGCTTTCTTATATTATTTTGGCTTAGTTATATCTAACCTGGCTGCTTGTGCTTTCCATCTATTCACTATATAATATTGAAATGCGTCTTCTGCCTCACTTATTATCCTGAAGCTGTTGTCTCCAAAGTCCCTGGGAATCTTGTGATAGTAAAATCCATGGTTTTTCCACCTGAATGTTGACAAACTTTCTCCAAACTCTAGCATGGCCTCTAGTGGTTTAAGGCATGGCCCTAAGAGGGCCCCCTTTAAAACTCCTGCCTGAGAAAGCTCATCCTGCTAGGAGAATTTACTGTTTGTTTTAGCCAAAACCTGGCAGTGTGCAGATAAGCCCTTGAACCCCCTCTTGGAGCAGTTACTTTAGAAACTTGCAATTATAAATCCTTTCTCTGCCCCTTTGAGATGTAAATCTTCTAACCACCCAAAACTGCCTTCCAAGGA